TAGGTTATGAACGTACCAGTCGGATCGCTGGCTAAGGCCGGCTTTCCTCCTTCTGTGATGCGGGGGGGGGGGCGCTGCTGCTGCTTCTGCGCCTTGACGGAACAAGCGCTGCTTTTCAGTTCTTGCAGAAGATTCCTTTGAACAGTGTGGTTGGTCAACGATCCTTAACTTAGCACGCGGCAAATCCGCATGGCCCGGCGAAGCCGGGCCATGTCACAGAAGGAGGAGCGCCCGGCGACAGCCGGGCGATCCGACTGGTTCCAATATAGAGCAATTTCTGAGATAAGCTCTCTATAGAACGTGAGCGAATTTCGCCATCAACGAAGCTATGTAAGATCCCTCGGGGATTTCAGTGACCATTTTGCGAAAATTGGGTGCACGTAGCTGGCCATCCGCAAGGTCTCCCACCTTCCCTAACGTTGCTCTTCTTCACTAGGCTACCTTTCATAACGACAAGTCGAAGTGCAAGCCTGGCTTTTTGGAGGCCGTCCTCCCGCTCTCCAAAGAAAACGCTGTAATTAGTCAAAAAAACTTTTAAGTAAGTGAAGAAAGGAGATTTTCATATCAAAACCTCCGACGACATAATAGTATAATATAAGGGTAGGAGCAGTAGCTGAAAACGGAATCTTAACGACCACAATACAACTCCTCTTAAAGCACCAGCTCAGCCATAAACATAAGTCTTGACCGTTGATCAATTCCTTAGTAGGATGCGGCATGCATTCTACTCCCATTCAGATCGTAGGGACTTACTCAATATGTTGCGCCTAAACATTGACCTGCGGAGGCCCGCTAGTGTACAAGTCAGTGTTCTTATCCTCTCAGATGAGTCCGGTATCAATTTATCGTTCCCGGACGGCACATTGGCTTGGGGGGAGCCGATAATTCAGCCACAATCTCCAGAGAAGTTACCAAAAGAAAATTCAGATAATTTGCAGAACGCATTTGGTTTTCATTAAAATCAGAGGAAGCGATGAAGGTATGATTGTCGATAAATTAGAGTCAACCTAAACTTTACATCCTCACCAGCCGTGAGGGACCTCTACTGCTGGTGGTTCTAAGAGTTTAACTGGCTTAGCAAAACGTATGATGTACATAGGATGAGAACCTCGCGAACGCAGCTTTTAATCCCTGGCTCTATGTCGAACGCCAAAACACTAATCATCGCCACCCATGCGCGACGGCAAGTGGCGCAAACGCTTCCCCTCGATACTTCTCACCAAGTAATATGAACACTGATATAATACAGCTGCCTTCTCTTGATGATACCTACAAAGTGACCACATTTGGGCCTCACATATTCCAAGGAATGCACTTACTGTTAAAAGCAAGTAAGCTTCCAGCACACTTGCACGCATAGTCGCGTTCGCTGCTGATTCTAGGAAGTGTCACAGGGGCCCTAGGCTCAGCGCTGCTACAACCCGTCACAACTCAAGGTCGCTCGCTGGCTGGTGCAGGACGAATTGGCACCTCGCCAAATCCAGCCCCT